AGTCATCCACCAGAACTGGGAGCAACTCTGGAATTGTTGGTAAGACTCTTAACTTTCATGTTACTGTACTACACTAAAAAGTTTTGTGTGCAAGCCGTTTCCAATAAACTTTTAAGTTGAGCGATCGAAATGGGATTTAGAGGGTATCATCAGCTCTTGTTTTGTTCTGATATTCTGTTTGTGTTTCATCTTCTCTCAAGAGGTTTTCACCAAAGTGTTTTCTGACATATTTATTCATACCCAGTAGCCGGTGACATGTGGCTGGGGAGATGAGTCACAGAAATATATGATGCAATCTTAGATGTATTACACACGCACGGGGCACACACACACACACGCACATACAAGCACACACACATCTCACTCCTAGCACCACAACCACCACCACCACCACCATCATCACTAGCAGAGAGGACAGGAGAGAACGTGCACTGGTAGATGATGCCTGTCTGGTGCTACACAGTGGTGTGTGCAATCTGTCAACAGCGTGGGCTGCTCCGCTCAGATCCTGTGTGTAGAGTTAACTCTCATTACCTCCGCCAAGCAGGTTATGTTTTCATCCGTCTCTGTTTGTTGGTTTGTTTATTTATTTGTCAGCAGGATTACGCAAAAAGCACGGAACCGATTCGCTCCAATCTTGTTGGAGGGATGGGTCATGGCCCAGGGAGGACCATAACATTTTGATGGGGATCTGGTTAAATGGGCGAATCCAGGATTTTTTTTTTTTAAATCACTTTCCTAAACATTGTGAGATAGGGCATGTGTCCAAATTTTTGTAAATTTCTCAGGAAATAATGTATGGATCTTGATGTAAAAAAAAATCTAACATATTTACGGTGTTGACATCTTTGAGTTTGTACGGTTTCAGATAAGATTCAGATAATAATTCATATCTGGTGGAAGAAAATGCTGAATCCATGTTACACACAGAGTTTAGTAAGTAATGGTGCATGAGGCACCAGCAGCATTTAGGAATGTTTACATCAGTATTTCATTCAGCATGCAGGTAATAAAATTACACAATAACAGTAGCGGCTGCCACATAACAATTAGACAATTGACCCTGCTGTAGAGCTTATATGAATTGTATAATACATTTCATACAACAGGTAATAAAACCATACAGCTGTCTTGCATAAGGAATGACTACGATACATAAATAAAGTTACCTGAGAACAAAAGACATGTAGGATTGTTTGGCCTTGGCGGAGGTAGCCTATGCGCTTTACTGAATCATTCTAGTTCATTTCTGTATTAAAGACAAGGAGTCAGAGATGATGTATCCACCTGTAGCGTTAGGGTTGGACGATATAACAATAGATTTTGTGAGACAGCAAAATTCTTTTTTAGCTATTTCTTTGATATCTTTGAGTGTATTAGACCATTGGGAGTTATACTCAAGGCAGTGATGGATTTTATTTTAATTCTTTTTTCTTTTTAAGTTTTTAAAAAAACCTTGACTGCTCATGTATTAAAATCCCTGAATTAGATGTTAAACCATTCATGTCTAGTTACCGTCTCCACAAATGGCTTCTTATTTGAATTTTCAGAAAATGTAATACACTGATATATAAAGACCAGCACTGCTGTATAAAATATACCATGATAGAGGATTTTGTCTACTTCACCCACCCTTATATAGAACATGTATACTACCACTGCTCACTCATAACTGGAAAAACATATGACCAATGTCAAAGGACATTACAATTAATACATAATAGAAGAAAGAATACTTTAATTCAGGGGTAAGGTACAAGATCTGCACAATAAAATTCCTATGTGACAAAAAATGATTTGACGTAATTCAAATCTTTTTCGGGAATGAAGTCACGTTCAAGCTCCTACTGGTTTGATGTTTGGTATTCCTGGAGCCTCAGTGCAGCAGACATTACTCTGCCTCTTTCACTCTTTCCATGAGAAGCAAAGCAGATTATGTGATTATTTGATGCTTCACACCGTTAGAGGGAAGTGATAACTCACAAAACTACAAAGGATCTTTGTGCACCTACTTCAGAGTTTTTACTGTTTGATCGTTCTGTTCAGCTGAGACTGTCCACCTGCTCAGAAAGAAAGAAAAAAAACAAAAAACGAGCACATAAAGTAGATCCATGGAAAGAGGCTTATGTTTGCTTATGAATTTCTCAAAAGAATAACTCATGTTCAGCAGCTGTTAGATGTTGTACAAGCAGACAATATCCATCTCACTACTGCAAGCTCCTTTTTCAATCTCAGCTTAGAGTCTCCTGAAATATTAATGCATGTGTGATACTTGAAGATGACCAGCATTCATTCGCTCCCTTTTCTTGGGAGACTTACTGTGCACTCTTCCTGGAGCTGTCACAGATTAAAATTTAAAGTGGTAGCCCACTGAAAAGCTTTTGATTGGACCTTTGCCTCAGGAGTGAACCATGAAAAAAAAAAGGTAAACCTAAGCTAGAGACTGAACCACCCAATAAAAAGGGAGTGAAATCACAAACAGCGGAGAGGAGAAAAGTCAATTACATTTTAAACAGCTGATAAGATACATACATTTAATACTGTGCAGGAGTTAATTACCCACACACCTGCACTGTTCCTCAATTTTAAACACTGTGGTCAGCTTGAAATAATTTCCAATAGATTCCATGTTTTTTTAAAAGCTACTAACTCTTTAGAGTAACTTTTCAAGTCTGCCGGGGATGGTGGAGTTAAAAGCCATGACTCTCTTACAGTAATTAAAGATGTTCATTGAAACCATTAGATGTCTTCAAAAGCCTAATATGTCTATTTATGGAAGATTCATAAATGAGATCCTGCAAACAGGATGGAGCTCCTGTCTAATTAATGAACAACAAATTGCCATTATGTAATGAGTTACGTGTGTGTATGGACATCAGCTGACACATTCGTCATATAAGATGACTCTTTGCCTCCTCATTAAAATTCATTTTAATACCTAAATATCACTTTCCACTACAAATACTAAGACCTTTTCTCCAAATGAAAATCCCTTCATAAATCTGGCATTTTTAAAGGTCACTTCCTTTCATCATAGTCAGGTGCAAATGGCAGGAGTTCATTTAACATGACCACACTGTCAAAAAGTGCAAATTCATCTAGCGATGACCTCAGTTTACCTCAGGAAAATCATCTAAAACAGTATCAAAAGCCTGTATTTCTGTGTTAAAACCTACAGTGGAATTAACATGGATTCAACAGGTCAAACTACTTGCTCACTTGACCAATACAAGGCTTTGTGTCTACACAACCCCAACAGACTGAACAACAGCAGACGACAGCAAAGTGAAGACAGCATGGCCACAGCATGAAGGGAAGCCTCAAAGATTCCTCATCTGACAAATGTTTACCTCTGATCACAGTCTTTGGTGTTCAGCAAAGGCTCAGCACCCCTCTGACTCCATGAGGAACACAATAGGTGCGGTAGTGAGAGGAAGGGCTGTACCTGTTTTGGGTGTAAAGGTCTGACACGTTGCCAGAAACATCATCATCCTCACCAGCCAACAACAACACTGAACCGTGATGCAAGGAGCTTCAGAAAGCGAAGATTTGACTTAATCTTATAATCGGACTATCATAATTGAAAGAAAGGGGGGCTCTCTCGCCAAAAGGGCAATTTTTGGCGACTCTGTGTTCCCCCTCTTACTGCAGCACTCACAACAGTCTGCACACCCGCCTTCCTCCAGCTCTGTAACTTGATGAAAACGATTGCGCCACAAATAGCGCCGATAAACCGCTTCAACGCACCTTTAAATCACTAAATATAGCTACATGACTTTTAAATTTCACGTCGCTCACCTCAGGAAGCGTCCTGATCGCTGGCGTCTGGTGGTGATGGAGGTGCTGCTGTTTTTTTTTTTTTTCACCCAACACCAAGAAACAAGAGAAACTCCCACCTACTCAGGGACCGTCTGACAATTAAACACCTGCCACAATAGGCTGCTAAGGGAGCGTCAAGATATGCTGAGTGGAATATTTTGATTTTAGGATATGCGAATGAATTATGTCAGACGGGTATAATCATGTGATCAACTGTCGAGGTTAAAGTTACTTATTTGCGGATTAAATTATCTCAAGTGAATTTTTTTTTAAGGTTTGAGGAGTGTGGGCCGAGTGGTTGAGGAGATGAGGAAAACAAGGTAAGCAAGAGGAACATAACAGCAAAACATGATAAATCTACACCACTAATATGACAGCAGTCAGACATGAGAGGTAAAATGACTGAGGCTGCATTGCCACCTACAGGAAAACTGTCTTTCTTGCAAACGTCTACCGTCTAATTTGTTCAGACCAAACATGTCTGCTTTTCCGTCTCTTTTTCATTTACTCAAGTACATACAGATGAAGTACTTCTACTTTAGTGTTTCCATTTAATGACACTTAACCATACTTTTATTCCACTACAATATATTACAGTTAGGCTACTTTAATATAAAATAAAATATGATTCTGCATTGAGTAATTTAAGACTAGCCTAATATACATGAGTTTATTTCTTAAGTGACATTTTTATTAAATTTTTAAATCACTTTTTAATGATTTTTATTTGTAATAAAGTATCTCCACAGTCTGGTATTGCTACTAGAAGGCTCTGAACACCTCCTCAATCAATGTCAACAATAAAATGTTTACAAGGATAGGAGCTCTCCACATTCAGTGAGTGGATAAAGGTGAAAGCCTATTAAAAAAAAGCCTTAGCCAAATGTTGTGACTAACAAATATCAATTTTATTAAAACGAAAGAAAACATCAAACACTATATTTTCACACAGCCTGACTTATCTTACGTGGGTTTTGTGGTCTATTATTAGTCTATTGATGTGGTCTGCCTTAAAAGGTGAGATTTTCTTAAAGATAAAATTTAAGTAAACGTAGTAAAATTTTAAAAGGAGAGAAAGAAAACAGACGCATCCAGACCAACAGGCGGCGGTAGACAAAGGAACAGACACCCTTTTAATGAAAAAAGACGTCAATGTGGCTCAACATCACCTTCGTCTTTGCGTTTGAATGAACGTGCTGAGCTGTGAGCCGAGGCTCCGTGGTGCTGAAAGGACAGCTCCTCTGCTCTCTGACACCTGCAGGTAGGCAGCCCGGACATGGTGAGGACGGGGTTATTATTTTTTTTTTATTACACAGTTGTTTTAATTGCGTCGTCATGGAAATGAAATGATTGGCGCCATCACTGATACCGGTCTGATCTGTCTCCTGAAGGAAACAGCACTTGATCGTATAAAATGCTCCCTGTCATCTGGGGCATGAATGGGCCTGCAATGGAGCTTCCTGGTGTTTTCATGCGGAAGCCCCCGTTTAAGAGCATAAAGACCCAGTTTTAGGTTCACTGTGTGGTTTGCACTGTCTGTTACTGTAGGTTAGCAGATGACATGTGAAAAGGCTGGGATATTCTTGGTATTCTCAATGGCCCCTGAGAGTCCCCAGACCTACATTTGCTCAGAAATTAGTTTTTCTCAGAGCAGACTTATACAGACATTATCTATTTTAAAAGACCAGCCAGATCATATAATATTTATAACCTATCTTGCCTAATAGGGGGTGTATTACTTTCAATCAGATGCTTTATTTGAATAGTCCTGAACCAGTTCATAAAATTGGAAGGGACAGTCATCTAAAGGTAATCTGTAAAGACAACCAACTGAAACATTGCGTATGTTGTATATTTTTCTGGCCTCTTACTGTCATATAGTTTATGATGACATCATGCTTACTGTGTCTTCTTCACTCTCACACAGACATGTTCACCAGGATGTTAAAACTGAGACTTCTCAATGCTGTGGCACCTGCATACTTCTTCACAGCTACAGCAGTCACCTTCATTTTGCACTTCTGCTTTTTCATCCCAACGATATTCCCAAACCCGGACACATCACTGAGGGGGTCTACAACTCTTCACACAGTTGTTTTCCTTTTCTTGATGTTCAATGCACTGGGGAATTACATAATGACTATCAAATATCCTGCTGAAAGTGCCAACGAGACTGTGGTTCCAGTGTGCTCACCACACTGCTCGGACAAAGTGGACGCTCACTACCTCCTGAACGGCCGTCACTTCTGCAAACTGTGCAAGAAGGTTATTCTCAAGAGGGATCACCACTGCTTTTTCACCGGAAACTGCATCGGCAACAAAAACATGCGCTACTTCATCATGTTCTGCATCTACACATCATGCACATGTTTGTATTCTCTGGTTCTCGGTGTGGCCTTTCTAACAGTGGAGTACTCCATCTCCTTTGAAAACCCGCTGACCTTCCTGACTCTTCTCCCCCTCTCCACTGGCTACTTCTTCATGGGTGAGTTGCTGTGTATCTCTAGTTAAAGCCAATCATTTAAGGCACATGACTTCCTAAGGAATTCACATTCTCCTTCTCACACTTCTCCTCAGGAACAATCTCAGGCTTGCAGCTGTTCGTGGTGCTGATGCTGTACGTGTGGCTGGGCATCGGCCTGGTCTGCGCAGGCTTCTGCTGCCAGCAGGTCCTGCTGGTGGCACGGGGACAGACCTGGTGTCAGATGCAGAGAGGGCAGCTTGTGGAGAACCGCAGCCCCTGGAGAACCAACCTCAAGGATGTTTTTGGTACCCGCTGGATCCTCGGCCTTATCCTGCCCGTGCAGACAGTGGAGATGTGCTCTGACGACACAGATGCACACAAACAAGACTGAGTGATGACTACAGGTCATATCAATAGCTTCCAATAGCTCACACAAGCAGCACAAGTTGTAGAAAATGCTTTCTTGGGATCCATGTGGTGATTAATTCTAAATACTAAATGGCTGCTTTATGACTTCTAAAGTAGTCCATGAAATAGTTAGCTGTTAGCATACATTCCTTTAAGGACAGGAGCCATATAAGCAATGTGAAACTTTTGAATAAGTGCATAGTGTAAGTTTATCCTTTAAGTAGCTTTTTACAAGGCAATATTAAAGACAAATAAATTAGTTGTTTTTGAGGTACAACAGTTTTACATGCACTACTACATGCTTACATTAAAAATGCATGCATTCACAGCTTTGCAAATTTGTATTATGCTTTTGATTTGACCGCCGCATGGCAGTGCTCTGAGATTATTGGTCAAAGTGTATTGCTCTTCCAGACTTCCTTGTAGGATGCTACAATGTGACATTCAGGAAATTAGTTTTTACGACAATAATTCACTTTGACGTTAAGGGCTAGCAGACAGAGAAAACTACAGTGTCTATAGCATCAACTGCCAGGCTTGACACCACTGTTTAGACAATAAACTGTTACATGTTGTTGAGCCTGATGTTTTCTACTCAAAAGAATGTGACTCAGACAGTTTGATGAAGGTACAGTCATCTGCTCCTTTATAAGAATGGAGGGACAAGGAAAATGTGAAGATGATTACCATATTATTATCCAGGGTATTATTCACAATGTGCCATAATATTGTGTCTTACATGCTTACTGATGACCCCAAAGATGAGGTATTCACTAAACCACTAATGATAGGGCCCTCTGTATAAGAATAGTAAGGACTTTTCACTGTTATGCTGCTGCTAGAGCTACTGACATATTCAAAATCATGTGAAAGATGTTTTGGATTTCAATAAGTATACTTTTTAGAGCTATTTTGTCTATTCCTGTTATAACAATAAAAGTATTCAAATTGCAACAAGCAGCGAATCTTTGTTTTTCAAAACTGCACATGCTGAGGAAAGTGCAATAAATGACAGAGAGGAAGTTGTCTTCAAACAAAGTTTTATGACAGGTCATTATTAGTCAAAGTGACTAAAAGTGATACAGAAAGCACGTTTCACAATAACAGGGAAAAAGCAATCTCTGAAAACAAATTTTTGTCGCTCTCCTTTTCCCCCGTTAAAACCAAGACTGATTTGATGATTTCTTAGTTTTACAATTTCTCATGATTAGAAAATATCGCAACAGCAGTGTTTTGCTGCTGAAATAAATAAAACAACAGTTGACCTAGACTTAATGATTAAAACTGAACCATTTATGACTTCATTTGTCTTTACGGTTATCTTTCCACTGCAACTCTGAATGTATTATGGCACCAGAGCTATGGTTTGTTTTAAACTTTTAAAGAAGAATGTTAGTTCTTTGGAGACCTTTTAGTACATTCAACTTTCTTCTACATGAAGCTCACAAAGAAATACAGAAATCAAAGCTGCTCAAGCGTTGATATGAAGTACAAACATAAACATATTCAAAAGGCACAGGCATCCAGTTAAACATTTATATTCACATTATTTTATCAAGACAGAACGCTCATGTAAAGAAACAAGTCGTAACATTTGTCTAATAATGTTGCCAGTAATCCTCTAACTAAAGTGCAAGAGTCTGTAATAGGAAACTATATGTAAATATTTAGCTGTCATTTCTGTCTTAAAGTCAGTTAATACTACATCATATTAAGCTTAAAACTGCAGGGAGGAATGAGAATGGCAGCAACATATACAAAGTCAAGACAATTATATGGCTACAGCACTTCACTTGCTACATTTTAAGTTTTCGCAAATTCCTACGATCCTACGTCTTTAAAGGTATCTTGAAAAAAAGAGCTTGTTTTGTCAGAGAACTGGCAAACTCGTTATAATGTGCTTGGTTTGTTTATATTAGTCACACAGCTTTAGTCTTGGTCAAAAACAATATTAAAAATAAATAATACTGACACCAACTAACAACATTATATTAAAAAACAAAACAAAACAAAACAATGAACTCTTAACTGTAAGCAATCCACTTCCTGACAAAGGAGACATCTCCCCATTCAGTTACATTACTATACAATGTAATAAAAAAGTTAATAGAACAAAACAAACAAACTGGGTTTTCTATTTTACCTAAAAAGTAAAAATGATGCTTATACTTTCTCTATGGAAATCACATTCAAGGCATGTATGAGGAATTAACCCCATGTGTCCTCACATGTGCTGTAAGGCATGCGTTTATGCAATTAAAGTTCGACATATAGAAGGCATAGCCCTATTGCAAGTGATACTTGCTATTTTGAAACAGCAGAGGCAAGAAAATTTCTTATAGGCAAGGGTTTGAAATTTAAGCATGCTTCCTACCTCCCACTTGAGAATAGTGGATGTGTTGCAGCTTCATGTTTGGAACTTAGACCAGCAGTTCTGAATGTTTTTGTCTCTATTATTTGCAAATTTAAGATGATTTGTACTTACAACCTCCTGCCAAAGCATGAAAGCATATGGATTAGTTCTGTTATTGTTTGGTTAGTTATACTGCTTGATGCTGTGTTGACTATTTCAAAAAAGAAAGAGCTTTTCTTGTAAATCATCCTCTATCCCCATGATTGAGAACTGCTGGTCCCATGCACCGATACATTAAGCCAGGACTCCTTGAGCTTTAGCCCCGCACTGTTCATTGTCCATGTCCTGCAGAGAGAGCTGGAGTTTAGTCCAGAGCTGTGGGTCTCTGCTGCTCAGAGCCTCCAGCAGCAGAGCTGTTTGCTCTTGAAGCTGTTGTAGCTGGCCTTGAGTGCGCTTATTCTCCTTGATCAGCTGCTTTGTGCGCATGGTGATCCCCAGCAAGCCTGACTTGCTGAGAATATTGTAGGTATTGCTGAAACGTTTCAGTTTGTTGGTGCCTATTGAGAGGGCGTCCTGGTATTTGTCAGCAGGGATCCTGTCACTGTCCTCCTCTGTCCTGAAATCATCTGTGCAGGGGGGTGGAGAGCTGATTCCTGCCAGCGAGTAGAGAGCCTTGTCACTGAGCTGCTCGTGACTCTCGGCTGTCTGTGCCTGGTTGTTTGAAGCTTCAGAGTTGGAGACGGGTTTGACTGGAGTCTGCAGTGCTGGCTGTGGGCTTGGGGAACTATAGAGCCTGTGGCTGTGGTGGTGCCTCCTCTGTCGCTGGTCATACCCTGATGTTGAGTGCCCCCTCACCCTGGAGGATCCCGCCCTCTTAGTGGGCACTTCCGAGGGGTGAGGGGCGATTCTGGGGTACGACTTAAGGATGGGCATGTAGCTTTTTGATTGCCGGACATTTTCAGAGCAAGTCTTTGGAGAGGTGCTGCTGCCATTTGACACCATGGGTTGGAGAAGAACCACCTGTGATTGAGGCATCACCTCCAAGGGTGAAGGAAAACCCCATTGTTTTTCTGCTGGAGCCATTGAAGATGCCTAGGGGAGAAAAATATCTTTAATATTACACTATAATACAATACATTATGTATGATACACTAGTCATTAAAACACAAGGATCATATACAAATGGAAAAAACAATGAAATCATTTTCTTTTGTAAGTATTACACATTAAAAATAACAATCAAACTACAATGACCATGAAGACTGTACATATGCATTCTCTTAGCTGATGGAAATTTAACCATGAATTGACAATAAAGCCCTGGTTTACTGCAATCAAGAGTTATGACCAAATGAGAGAAAAGCCTAAACCAAAAAACAGAACAGTAGAAAGGTAGGAATGTTGGCTGGAAACTCAGCCGCCACAACAAGTCAAGTTTCTCTTATAAACTGGGAGAAAAATCTCTACACAAGCCCCTTAAGTTACCAGAACAAACGCAGACAATCACAGTGACAAAATGATTTGAGAAAAAAGACTGGGTTAGCAGCTAATTTAATGTCCTGAGTGAAACACCTTAGATGTGTGTCCTTCCACCTGTTTTCAATTTGTGTATAAAAAAAAAAAAAAAAGAGTGGAAATGTGGTGAAGCCAAATTGGAAAAATGGGAAACAAACCTAACAAATGAATGACTTACATGAAGCATGTGACTTAAATGTTCACTGGAGTCTCTGCTCCACTGAAGGGACAGATATTGGCAGCAGACGAAAACATCAGATATGTGTGGAGCAATGAGCAATGAGACTGTTAAATTCCTTAAATTAATACATAAAACACACAAAAATGCCATATTTCCATCATGTTTTCTATATAGTTTTCACTGCTTAAGGTTTGATTAATGCTCTTTTATCTGCATCATCTTGTTCACTCTCCTCTTCGACAATGGTTTTGATGGCACCAGTTGTTTATCTTTACGGCCCAACTCCTAATATTTGCATAACAGCAGTGGGTGGAAATGTGCATTAACTCACATTCTTTTCCTAGATTTCATGAAATTCAGCTAAATTTGCACAACATTTGGATGGAAAACCATATATTGACAGTTAGGGTGAAAAGCCAAACAAGCCCAATGTTAAATCTTCTAGTAGTAATGAAACAAACAGTGCTAGGGAGAGACAAACATACATTGCTGTATTTTACCTGATTTAGAACAAAGTTGTTCATGATGATCATGGGAGACAGTCCAGCGTATGAGCCTCCCATCACAGCCACCTGCGGACCATTCGGGTCCTGGCCGAATATGGACCCAATCCTTCCTGCATCTTCATTGTCAGTCAGATCAACTGTACTGAGGTACTCAGAGCTGGCATCTGCGGAGGGGAGTACAAGCATATGGGTCTCATCATGTTTAAAAGCAACAGATTGACCTCTCTATTGTGTGCAGTAACTGAGACAGAACACTAGTACCATGAAAATTGTGGCAGCTGCAGATAAGCACCTCTAGAGCAACTTGAAAAGGATACCATCAACCTGATGAGAAGGATTATACCAAATCCAAGTCTATCTTCATAGTGGAAATAAAGGTCATTAGAAAAACTGCCCCAATAGAGGATAAGCTACATAGAGAATGTGACCTAGATCTCCAGATTTGATTAAACTTGACCTTGTTTATGTTGCTTATGTCTTGACTGTAATTTTTCTAATCAGAACTTACTAATTATATGAACTTACACCACTTCATCAAGTGAGCCTCCAAAAATATAGAAGGATAAAAGACCTATATGGAAACAAGAAACTCAAATGTTTATTTCTGAGAAGAAACATAACTAAATCAAACCTGAGAAGCCTGAATCTCTCTCCAGGTCAGGCTTGGATGTTCCAAGGTGTGTTGCCCTGGTGAATGCCGGTGTCCTGTGTCTGTCAGGTCTACTAAAACTGCTCATCCTTGTCTCTTCTGTGTTAAGGGTTGAAAATCAAAACAGTTAGCCTGGATTTCATAAGAGCAAAGCCTAGCAAAGCCCTGCTGGAGTTCAGTTTGTTTCTGCCTTGAGTTTATGTAATTGCAAAGATCATAGGAACTAAGACTGAAAAAGTAAAGAGAAACAGTTAACTTGTACCTATAATGTTGTAGGTCTTTGGTTTTTTTTTGGTTTGGTTTATCTTCCTCCATAAATTTGGTGTCTCAAAGTATGGGTCATTGAGGACTGACTGAATTACTATTTAATCTGTGTTTACATAAATTATTTACAAATAACTGATGGGTCAGAAAGTCAGTGCCAAAATCAGAAACAGCAGTCTGCAAGGCCACACAACAACCCTGCTATTTATACATGCTTCCCTCTTTAAAATACTGCATCTTATTAAAACTGCTACTTTAAATTTTTTGTGTGTTAACTAAATTGCACAATATGTTTAAAGCATGTGCTTTGTGCTGGTATTGTATTCAATATCATTATATAAACAGGTGCTTATTTTGTCCTCTTCATTTAGAGAGAAAAGCTTGTGGTGACAACGAATAGGTTGAGATAATGTTTGGAATAGGACATGAAGCAGGTCAAAAACGTACAATATTATTTTAATTGTTGATCTGAGGTTAGCGTTTAAAGGCCTGCCACTCCCCCTCAACCAACCAGTCTGATTATAAAGCTAATGAAAGAGAAGATTTCTCCATTACCCGTCATTATATATATATGTAACGTATGATATATCACAAGGAAGAAAAGACTTCAAGGTTAACAATAAATAGCATTAGCTGGGAGTCTGAACTCTCCAGTGTTTATAACATCTTAATGCAGCTAGCGGTTGTTGCATACACACGCAACTTTGTTCAACACTAACGTTAGTTAACTGTTAACAACTTGCTGGAAACTGACATACACTGGTTAACTTCAACTTGTAAAAACAACTAAGCTGCGACAAGTAACAACATGTCAGTGCGTGAAATGCAACATTAACAACAGCAACGTTAGCTGTTGTCTGTATCCACGACAGTCTGTCTCTCCGTTTACTGCCCTGCCCCTACCCTGCTCGCTGTTAGCTCAGCTAGCTAGGTTAACGTTAGCTTTCTTAGCTTTAGCTTAGCAACCAGCTCATCACTGTACTATCGATAAAATATTTGGCTAATAGTTAATTTTTGCCATCCTTACCGATGCGTCGTTTGCTTGAAAACATGTATGCGTTTATATTGGCATCCAAGGTTATAGTTTTCCTACCGTTACCAAGTCTCTTGTCAAGCTAATGTTAGCTACGCCTTATTAAAACTACACAGAGAACCTGATTCCTCAACGACGTCTTACAGGCAACCGCAGGTCTCCAGTGAAACTTTCGCTTTGCCGCAGACTTCTTTTTCTTTGGCAATTAATCAAGGGCGTTAAATTCCTAATCTGCAAAAAACTATGCAACAACCCAGTGCTTTCTCTTGTTTTGGAAACATAATGCCTAAGTAGGATAGGTTATAAATCAGTGGTTGTCTGTCTTTTTTTTTTATTTCAAGGGAGGAGTGAATTGAGTGTAGGGACCTTTAAGTCAGTACTAAGGGGCTAAATGCCCTTATCAAACATGACTGGGCACAGGAGTTGCCAGGGAAACGGGTCTGATCCAGATGATGAGGCAACAGAGGCTCTTGATTTTGCAGTGTGTGTGGCCCCTGCAGGCTAATGTGGCTCTTCAAGCTGTAGATATGGGATAAATAGCCTACCTGTTTGTTAGTTTTTATTTACTCATATTTTAATTCTACTGTATATGATACACGTCTTTTATAAAACAAATATCGATATGGTATTGTAGGGCTATTGTTTGTGAGAATGTGAAAAAAGATATTGACAGCAATTCATTTAAAGGTAGGCTATTATTAGGATATCATTTGTAGGGGTTAGTCTGTGTTAAATAAAATAAATCACACAAGACAAGCTGAAACCATAACAATTTAATTACAAAATAAATATTTAAATGAAATAAAATGCTAAAACAGTAGAAATGTTACTTCTTACATTTTCATAGAGATTTTCTTTGTGTAGTTCATGAAAAAAATTTCAAAGGACATCATTTTACATAACTACTTCAGTGTTTCCAAAAACAGACAAAGGAAGACACCTGGGGTGTGGGCGTGTGTGAGTCATGTGTCACCAGGGTCCACACAAACAGAAATACTTTTTATATATCTGTGAAAACCTTGTGACCAAATTACAACAAAATAACAATAATTGTAATCAATATTCTTTAATAAGCATCAAAAGCAAATGAGGGCTGCTTGAGTGTATTGATTACTGTAGTAATCTGCCCTGTGATCTGCCCTTTCCTACTGGGCTTTGTCATGTCCACCATGCAGCCTACTGCACACTTTCTGGTGTGTTTTTTAATAAGCTGATTCCAGATGGCTGAGGTTTGTTTATTTAGAAAGCAGCTATAATTACTGCTCTATCCTGTCCACCAAAAACAAGCAATAAAGGGAGATTTCAAAGAACAATTTGGATATTTGACAATTTGATATATTTATTTATATACAACCTTCTGCGGAGTTTTCAGTTGATAAACTTTTCTGATCAATATTGTTCTTATATAGGTGTGAATTAGCAGTAAAACACCTCCAACTCCTGTCTGGTCACATGGCGCTATGGAGGGAGAATGGGATTGTTACTTTCATAACTGATAAATTGCCTTTAAGCTGATGGCATGATTGCTTGTGATTGATAACACTGTCTGTCTAATCTTATTTGTATATTTGACAGAGAAAAATACTTTCATTTAGAGCAGTTTAGAACATAAACACTAGAGGGAGACATTTCATTACTGCATGTACAAAGCATCTGCACACTCAGTCCAACATAGGCTGCTATGACAAGTGAAGATCTTTTGGATAATGTTTGAACAAAGACTGTTTGACAAACTTTTTACAAGTTGCTGGTCCAAATATATTCAGCTGTATCAATAAATATAGATTTTTTAAACATAACCACCTTTAAATACCAAATAAATCGACAAATTACAATAACTGATACAGTAATAACTAGTATAAAAGAAAAGGCATCAGTCTGTTTGATTCTACATTGCACTGGCTCCCAGGGATATCCATTGTATCAGGTGTGTAACAGCAGTGTTTCCACCAGTTAAAAAACACACTTCCTGTTGAACCTTGTCAATACAAACGCTCTGCCCATCAGCAGGAGGGCACGTCAGCAAAACAACCCAGCTTTTGGAGTCTTTGGCTGCAGACACAGCACTGATGGATGAGTGGAGGAGACTCCTGATGCCGTCACTGGGCTAGAAATAAATAATGAGCCACACTGCAACAGGGGGTTGGGTCACCACTGCAGTTACCTGCGAGGGATCTGGCACCTGAAAGACACAATAAAGAAAGCTGTTAATTGATAGCTGGAGGGTATTTGAATTCTTTCTCCCAAGATTGTGCCATCACCTGTCACATTCTTTCACTTTCTGTCTGTCCTTTCTCTTCCTTCCTTTTCCTCTTTGCCTTTTCCTACAACGAGAACAAAATCACCAGTAAGCCTCTAGTTCACTAAGATCAACAAACTGATGTTACAACAGTATACTTGTGTTCTTACCTTTCAACCTTCACAACAGGTTTCCTGACTCTGAGGAGTAAAATATTAGAAAGATTATCCAGGTGCAATATTATTAAAGTCAAGGTAAGTATTTTCCAACCCTGTCTCCTAGAAGAGACATTTATGTACCCCTAATTTGTTTTACCAAATATGATTGTTACGATTATGTTCACTGGTAACATTTTGTCTAGTGAAGGAAGTTCATTAAATTTTTGTATCACACACAAGTTACATGTGGGAGGGTGGGGTGGATGATGGAACCTGGAGACTGGGGTTTGTGTGGTTAGGTTAAGGCAAGAAAAGCACTTTTTGTAAATTTAGGAAAAGCTTGTGGTTTCAGCTAAGTGCTAATGAAGTAAACATGTCCCATCTCTGTCTCCACTGACTTTTTCAGTATCTGACCAGGACACAGATTTTTCCATTTTGTTGCCCAAACCTAACCATAAGAAACATTATCATGTGTCAGCTGCTATGAGAGGATATTGTAGGGAAAAAAGTGAAATATGTTGTCAGTGAAGTTTTGGCAGATACAGTGTGTACATTTTGCAACTTGGCAGATAGATTTATGAAAAACTTTTCCTCATTATGTTGAAAGTAAAAATGCAACTCAGCGGCATTACTTTGTTGTTATAAATTAGTAGCATACAAATGTCATTTCTAGGGTTGGTATTTGCATACTTATGAATATTTCATGTCACAAATTATGACTTGTTTTCTTACCTACATTCACATGTCTGATGCTCCACAAACGTCATCTCAACATATTCCTGACCCGGCTCTGACGGCCTGATTTTCAACAGCTGAGGGGTAAAATGAGGTAAGGTTACCAATAGAAGGAAATACAGTAGACATTGTAATGTATCACACAAATTTAACAAGAGCAATTATATTGAACCAGGCGATTTTTTTTTTCTTACCTGCATGGTGACGTTCGTGGTGTGTGTTGGATGACACTCCAGGTTCTCGTCCCCACAACAACCTGCACACCTCACCAGCGGCACACAGGAGGGGCTGTAGATGTGCTCCACTTCTGTCGGGTACTCCTGCACCACCTCCACAAGCTTCTCAATGGTCCGGCAGAAGCTTCGACCCCACACTTCTTGAAACATTAACACTGTGGATGAGAATAAGAGGTTAAGAATGGGTCACTTTGGAATTATAAGCCACTCAGCTTGTGTTTCTTATGAGGAATTTTGTTTTCAAACGATGACATAGTTGCAGAGCGGAATACAGGCGAATAAATGCAAACTCCACTGTTGATGATGCTGTCGTGAACAAGCAGTATCAGTAGCTACCTCAATAATCCAACTATGCCATCCTCATATCACATACACAGAAACCTAAAAGCAGCTGCGATACGCCACTGTGTATCCTGTTATCATTTTGAAATAAAAATGTTTGTATAATGTACAGTATGCTTTCCTGTGGGAGTATATGTGTAAAAGTGTCCCAGTTGCACAGTCTGTGTGGGAGGAACAGGGACGACTACAGCCGAACAAACAGAGAGGGAAGAGAAAACAAACACTGGAAACATGGCCATGAACAGAACCCTGCTGGAGCTGGAGCGGAGCTACCCCGCAGGCACCTCTGGGACTGCAGTGACCCCTGGGGTCACCGAATGGAGCCTGACACCACAACAGCTGTTTATAAAAGCAGACAGGCTGGGAGGAGATGGCTGGGGAAGCATCTACGGTAGAAAGATGAAGCCACGAACCGTAATGTTGTACAGCGCAAAGGGGCCAGTTCACTGGCCAGTTACTGCTCCTTGAGCTCACTGTATGTCCTCTTAATCCTCTCTGGCTGCAAGTTCTACAAGTCTTTAACGTCCAATCAATTTTCCTTTTAGCAGCATTAATTCATAGTGAGGGAGAAAGAGGACATGAGGAGGGAAGGTAAGCAGCTGAGTAATCCCTGCTAGTCCAGACATGTCCTGCTATTCTTTAAATCCAAATCAAATTCATTGACGAACGCACGTGCCCCATTTATGAGCTTAGTCATTTATATTCATCAGCAGTGCATGACAAACACAGTGTGGGTGAATACACCTCTGTTTAAAGGTACTTTGTCAGAACTAGCATCGGACTCTAGCAGTTTAAGAAAACAGTTACAAAAACAGTGAGCTACTTTTTCAAAGTAATCTTAATTCGCTTGCTGTAAAATGTTTTTTTTAAAAGTAACACCCATTTGAGAAATAAAACAAGTAGAAATTCCTACCTTCAGTTGTACTGTTTATACTTGCCAAAGGGAGACTCTGCAAAACACACAAAACATCCAAATGAAATGGTGAAAACTGAAACATAGATAAAAACAAACAAAAGAAATAGACATGTTCAAACCTTACAAGCCCCCCCCCCCCCCCCCCCCCCCTTCCCTTAACCCACACCTTTCAAACTTGAACATGAAATACAAACAAAATTTCCTGTAGATATGAAAACAGCATGAGCCTGCAGTTTTGCATCTTTGTCCTCTAGTGGTGAAAGTTGGAGCTACACTGATATAAAGTGGATGATCATGCAGCTTTTTTGTTTTCCACTCTCCGGTGGAAAAGTCTTCCTGACAAGCAGCAGATTCAGTCCCTCATATATATATCACGTTTGTCTGTGTGCCCAACTGTTTAGATTCAAAACCTGTTTCCTGTGGTGTAAGATTCAGCTCTCTATTTATTTTCCCATTAATGGTTTCCTCCTCCGTCTTGATTTTTTCCCATCATCCCATGATAAACAGAGTGCATTTCTCATTCGCCAGGGAAAACACAAAACCTCTAGTTGACTCCATCTCAGGAAGGGAAATCTACATTTTAACAAAATACCCTCCAGCAGACAGCCCAGGACAGGCGGCAGACAACCTGCTTCCGCAATCTCCCCTCACCACTGGTGTTACATATCAGTGTTTCTGTCACACACACACACACACACACACACACACACACACACACACACACACACACACTGTAACACTGTATACACACTGATAGTGAGATTAGCTGAAAGTGTTGGGCCAAAACTTGATATACGATAGAAAACAGACAGACAAGGACTTTCCGAGATGATGGAAGTTAGGACTGTTGCTTTTTACACCATCTGTCCGTTGCTAAATTGCATCCACTTCCTGTTATGAACCAAAATTAGTTTGAGAGTGAGGATAGCATCTGTCAGCACAGTGCTATACTCAGCTTTTTTTCTTTTTCTCCCAAACAATGTGATTAAAGAGGAATGTCCTGCTTTGATGATGATGATGCATTCACACTCACACAAACATTTCGGAGGTTCCTGTAAAACTGTCACTGAGATAAGTGTCAGACAGGTCTGTTGTATTTGGGGCCGATCAGTCTTCTCTGCAGCAGAACATATCATATGACAGACTTCATATCAATAGATACAAGGGCTTCCGGTCAACCACTTAGGTTCAGTCCTCCCTGTGTTAGGGGAACTGTTGAGGCATCTCCCTTTTTTTTTCCTCAGAGTGGCTGGTCATCTGGCCAAAGTTTACAGCTGTTCCTCTGACAGCACAGTTTTCTATAGAGTGGCGTTCACTGAACTGTGCTGGTTTTATAGCAGCACCACAGGATATAAGCTCCACTTGCAGAATATTCTTTATGCACAGCATGGGAAAGTCACAGTTCAGTTTAAGTTATTGTTAAAAGTCATTTTCACTCTCTGGGGCATCGATTATTTTTTTTTCATCCTCTGCAGCAATGCCAGGCTGATAAAATAAATCCTTTTCCAGTGTTAATTGGCATATGATCTGCTCTCTCTCTCTTCACGTCTACGGGTGTTCATGAGACTGCTCCACATCACAAGGGCTTTTTGGCTCTGGCCTCAGTTGCCGTTGAGAATGTGGTGAGGTGGGGAGGATTTTCTGACCTTGTCATGGGTTAAGCCTTGACATGGCGAGGAAGCATCTTTGGCAACCTCCTGTGGTTGAGAACAGAAGAGTGAGTTGGCCACAAGACGCTGCCAGATTATAACAGGCTGCATGAGGATCCTCACGTAGTCATTCCTTCCTCCTTACAGTATTAACTGTGTGATTAATGGTGACTGGGAGGTAATTCAGCTCTTGCAAGAAGGGAGAACCACTTTATATCAATAAGTGTATAAACTTGTTGAATAAACCCCACAGGCAGGATCACTTCCTGAGTAGTCCTCTCAGGGGTTTCACTTCACTCTTAAGGTTTCACTTCATTCTCTGATGACCTTTTTCAGGGAGTTTTTTCCCTTGTCCTCTGTGAGGGTCTAACATTGTCATGTGTCATTTTCATTTATTGTTTTCATAATGTGGGTGTTAAGACCTTTGCGACTAACTGTGATTAAAGGCTATGCAAATAAACTTGACTTCACTCGACCTGACTATAAATTCTTTTAGTCTTGGCAAATGAAATACCTCTACACTGCGTCCTCTGTGTTATATGTACAACATCTGGGGTGTGGAAAAGAAATCACTTAAAAGCTATATTCTGATACTAGCTAAAAACAACAACAACAAGCTTACTGCCTTACAGCTTATTGCCATTTCACAGAAGGACAAATATCTTAACTGAGTTTGCAAGATTGATTTCCAAAAAAAACAAAAAAACACAACATATCTTGCTGTGGACGGTCGATTAAACATCAAGAGAGCGAAAAGCAGCTGTGGAGTAAGTAGAGCGGAGCAAACCCTTATTTGGTAACAACAATTGTGTAAAGAAAAATGTATGTGATGTACATTCAGCAAGCATTTTTATTAGGAACGTTGTCAGAAACATTCCTTTGAGATTCTGCTGCATGTTGACATGATTGCATCACATCATTTCTGCAAATTTGTAAGCTGCAAATTCATGTTCGACTGGATTCAGGTCTGGTGACTAACGAGGCCACTGAAGTACACTGAACTCATTATGCTCATGAAAACCAGTTTGAGACGATTTCAGCTTTGTGACATGGTGCATCATCATGCTGGAAGTAGCTGTTAGAGGATGGTACATAGTGGCCATAAAGGGATGCAATGATACTCAGATTCAAACCATGATTTATTGGTATTAAGGGGCATAAAGTGTGCCAAGAATATATTTCCCACACCATTATACCACCACCACCACCAGCCTGGGCTGTTGACACAAGGCATGTTTGGGCCATAGATTCATGCTGTTGATGCCAAATTCTGAACCTACCATCTGTGTGCCTCAGCACAAATCCAGATTCATGAGACTACTGAGACTACGTGAGACCAGGCTGCTTTTTTCCAGTCTTCAACTGTCCAGTTTTCGTGAGCCTGCGCCCACTGCAGCCTCAGATTTCTGTTCTTGGCTGACGGGAGTGGAACCTGACGTGGTCCTCTGCTGTTGTGTGTAGCCCATCCACCTCAAGGTTCGACGTGTTGCGCATTCTGAGATGCTTTTCTGCTCACCACAGCTGTACAGAGCGGTTATATAAGTTCCTGTAGCATTTCTGTCAGCTCCAACCAGTCTGGCCTTTCTCCTCTGACCTCTCTCATCAACAAGGCGTTTCCGTCCGCACAACTGCTGCTCACTGGGTGTTTTTTGTTTTTCGCACCATTCTGAGTAAAAACTCTTGGGACTGTTTTTCGTGAATATTCCAGGAGATCAGCAGTTTCAGAAAATACTCAAACCAACCCAACTGGCACCAACAAGCACGTCATCGTCTAAGTCACTGAGATCACACTTTTTCCGCCCATTCTGATTTTGATGTGAACATTAACCGAGGCTTATAAAGTGTTCGGTGACTGTACATTTGCATTGAAAAAATCTAGAGTGGATGCTGGAGTAAAGACGGGATGGGAGAGTTAACAGATTTGGAGCTCACAAATGTTCACTGATCTATGTCAAAGTTGGTATAGTGCATAATCGCATGCCTACAGCTAACACTTTCTTTATCAAATACTGTGTTGGTATTTTTTTTTAAATAAACTGCTTATATATATACCATATATATGTTTCTTAAAATACCATAAAAATCAAATGCCCATCTTATGTTCCAGGGCCCAAAGATGGTACCTTAACATTGCTCATTACTCTCAACAACAGCTTAAAAAAGTCATAGATTTACATATTATAACACAGAATGAGCAACAACAAAATTTGAGAAGCTTTCCTGGCACTTTGATGAATGACTTAAGCAAGTAATCACTTAGCAAAATTGTCATTGATTAATTGTCTAATCCTTTCATCACTACTGTTGGGCCAGAGGATTCCTGTCTAAAAGTCATTCTCATTGGATAATTAACATGTTGGATATGTAATAGAGTCACGGTCCCCCAGGCTTCCCTGATCTCTGTCCCATAGTTGTACAAGTTGTTTTCTTCTTCAAACAGCTGTTTTTATAAGCAGCACAGTGTATCTGTGCTGCCGCTGATCAGATTGGTCTGCAGAGTGAGGGGCAGTTAGCTGGAGCAAGAGAAGTTAGATTAAAACATCTCTAGCAGTTACAGCAGTAATGAAACCGTGGCATTATGGGTTGTCATGTTTGATTACAAAGCTGCTTTAAAAAAAATAGTCTCCTATGTTTCTGAAGTCTCCAGCATAGGTTTGTAAGCTGCTGCCTGAGAGTTTGCTCCATCTTCTGGGTCAGATCAGAGGAGCTGTTGTGTCCCTGGGCTCCTGCTGTCAGGCCACAGAGGCCCCGGGCCTCATTACTCTCCACTCCCACACAGCTGAACTGCGTCATCTTTAACCTCCTTGCTTAACTCCATCTGTCAGAGGAAGGGCACTGTGCGTAGGGAGCAAAAATAAAACATGATGGGGACCCAGCATAATGGTCATAAAAGGTTTTTCAACTTTGAGGGTCAAGCGAGGAAGTGGGGGCGTTGGGCAATTCAACAGCAGGTACCATGGTCAGTTGCCAAAAAGATCTGGATACAAGCCAGGTTGTATACTCCACAGTGTAAAGTACTGCAAACAAAATGCAGACAGGTTTCTTCGACAGTTTAACCTAAATAGATAGGACTCCTTCTCCTGGGTGACTGGACTGAAGAATGATACAAAACTAGAAAAAATCATTGGGGTTTCTCTTCTCCTTTGGATTGCAAAACAATGACTGTAAAGGGTGAATCATGCTTGCCTTGTTTCCATGTAAGTTGAAACAGAAGGAACTTGAAGAATCCTGTTAATCACCAAACAATCAACAGAAACAATTTCTTTTTAATCTGGGGGGTAAAATGTTAATATGCTAAAAATATTAATTTCTAGCAATGAAATAATCAGATTTTCATTCATATATTGTTGACATCTCCATAGTGATGACAGAATATCACCAAACC